ACCCTAAACCCTAAACCGAGTGGATCAGGCCAGGGAGTCCATGCGGCTGTTGGCAGATGAGCCGCGAACGATGTAGGCCGGCCCGGCCCTCCGTTTGCGTCTTTCCTGGACCCCACAAAATCCATAAAAAAGGACCAAGAAGGCTATCATTCTGCATGTTTATGGGGGTTCAGCTAGGGGTTGAGGGTTGGGACCTGCAGCATATGCCACTTCAACATTACCAATGCAAATAGGGTTCCAACCAGAACATAGGTTTTTTCATGTTTTGTCATGGTCGTGAAGCCTTGCCTGGTGAGATTCCTTGTCCTTCAATTGTGTTTTTCCCGAAGCCTTTTTTAAATCCCTAAAGGACTAAACTCCAAGAAGCCCGAAACCCTAAACTCAAAACCTTAAACCCTAAACCCCTAAACCCTAAACCCTAAACCCCTAAACCCCTAAACCCCTAAAACCCAAAGCTCCAAGGTCTAAGGTAGGTTTCAGGCAAAGCCTTTCTATAGCGTTGCGTTATGGATCCTTGGCCTAAACCCTTCCCCCTAATAATAACCCCCCCCACCCCCCTATAATAAATATTCCCCAAATATATTGGGAATATTCATTATTAGGGGGGTGGGGGGGTTTATATTAGGGGGGGGTACTAAACCCTAAACTGGCCTTTGGGGTGGCTGGGAATGAAGGAATGGAAGGGAAAAAGGAAACTACTACCAGGTACCCCAGTAGTACCCTTTTGCCCTTTTTATTTTGGGGTCTCCTTATGAAATTGAATAGTAGGAAAAAGGGTACGCTTATTATTAAGGGGTTACTGGGGAACCTGGACTATAGGATTTACGTAGGCTTGAGGGATAGAAGGAATGGAAGAGAAAAAAACACATGGAAACTACTATACTGAGTTATACCCTAAACCCTAAACCCTAAACCCTGAACCCTAAACCCTAAACCCTAAACCCTAAACCCTAAACCCTAAACCCTAAACCCTAAACCTATCAGGATCCATTCCTTCATTCCTAGCCGACCGAAGGCCAGTGAATCCCTTCTGCCAGCCTTCCACGGAACTCCTGGCTCGGCTTTGAAGCCCCAGACCTCGAAAACGAAAAGATTTAGGGTTAAGGGGTTTAGGGATTAGGGGTTTAGGGTTTAGGGTTTAGGGATTAGGGGTTTAGGGGTTTAGGGATTTAGGGTTTAGGGTTTAGGGTTTAGGGGTACAAGAGAAATTTGCGAGAAGCCCCCGGTATTCCAAATCTGCACCATCAAGAGCTTTGCAAGAAAAAACACGAATATATAGTTGTGCCACGACTATGATGCAGCAACACTTGCGACACAACCGTGGGACCCGCAGGAATTGTGTTACCACATGAATCAAAATGGCACATCACATGGACCCATCCTTCTCACGAACCTTTGTTTTATCATCAGTCTACATCTTTGCGACAGTTAGGGTTCAGGTGCAGCAAAATTTTGGAGCATCCAACTTGAAGTTTTGTTAGCCACAAATTTAGTAGGTACAGCTAGGATACCTGACTTGGCACGCTGCCATTCGCAGAGGGAAGCAGTGGCTCTTGGATTCCCGCCCGAATGGACAACTTTGTCTGGCAGGTATCAAAAATTCAACCTGGCATTGCTGTGGGCTTTGGAAAACTACTGAAGATAATCTTCCCCAAGTGGCAGGAACGTCTTTGATACCACAAACGTGCACCATTTAGCATGATGCGACCCAGCAAGTCTCCCTGCTCACTTTGTTGAAGCCTCGACCAATGTTCGTGCCATGGTGCTCACATTATGTTTTTCCGCCTCCTGTTTGGGTTCCTAGCCTGTCTGTGTTACTTTGCAACAGAGGTGCCATGAGTAAACAAATGGACTGTAAGCCCCTGCTTGCAGGCACTCAAGACCGTCGAATATGATGGGACTTCTTGAGACGGGCTTTAGGCTTTCAGTACTTCGCCCAAGGCGAACGATGAAAAGCAAATCTGACAAAATCTGCGTCGTGTCTATTTGCCTGCTACACACGACAGGGGACAACTATCTGCATGCTGCGCCTGGTTTGCTTGGTCTGTTTCTCCGCGCACCCAAGTCGACGTAGACTCGGTGCCCTTGGCCATCTCAAATTGGCTCATTCTTGCCGTCAACCCTGCATCCAGAGCCCACCCTAAACCCTCAACCCTAAGAACATGTCTTCACTTCTAGCCTAGCATGGTAGTAAGGTGTCCCATTAAAACATTTACCGCAAAAGCACTGCTCGCATGGAGGTTATTCTAAGAAATCCCTAAGCCCCAAGCCTCAAACCCCACTAAGCTTAGGATGCTTCCCTAAACCCTGAACCCTACACCCCACACCCTATACCCTAGACCCTATACCCTAAACCCTGGTTAGGCATTTCGGGTGTAGGATTTAGGGTGTAGGGCTTGAGGCCAAATTTGAACCTAAGCCCCTCCAACCCCGCCACCCGTCCCGCGGTCTGAGCCCTAAACTCCATAGGTTTTCCCTTTTCCCAATCGCCTCAACCCCTCCTATACATGGAAACTAGCCTCTCGTAGTTGGTCCTAATATTCCATGTAATATCCCACTGTCCCTAAGATATCCCAATATACTCCTCAAAAACCCTGATCCCCAAACCCTTTTTCTGGCCCCTGCTGTCATATCCGATGTCTCTTTATATACCCCCTAAACCCTCTTTAGAGGGACCCTCAGAGCCCAAACCTTTAACCCCAAACCCTTAACCCCAAACCTTAAACCCTAAACCTTAAACCCTAAACCCTTAACCCTGAACCTTGAACCCCAAACCCCAAACCTTGAACCCTAAACCCTAAAACCCCTTTAAAGGGTCCAATGGCAGTGAGCCTTGTAGAGACCGACTGTGGCCTAGCTCTGCTGCGTCTGCTGAGCCGTGGGCACGACGCTGGTCCCCACAAGATCAGAGAAGAGGGTTTAGGCTTTAGGGTCTAGGGTTTAGGTTTTGAGGGTTAGGGTTTAGGTGTTAGGAGGTTTTAGTGTTGAGGGCGTGGGATGTGCCTAGGTCTTGGGGTTTAGGATGTGGGGCTTAGAGTTGAGGGTTTAGGGTTTAGGTTGCGGGGTTGAGGTTTTTAGGCCCTAGGATGTGGGGTATGGGGTTTAGGGAGAGTGGAGAATCAAATGGAAAAGAATATGGATGATGAAATGGAAAGTGGGTCATGTAGAGGTTGCTTTATTAGCGTCCTAGAGTCGCGTCAGGGGTGGAAGAGATCACCTAGCTACGGTGTGTAGTCATCCTGAATTCACGAGTTTGTCATCGATTTTTGGGTTCTGCCTGGGAAAAACTCGATGATTAGGACCCCACCCTTCCCTGCACCATAGTGACACGTGATTCTAGTCCTGAATCCATTTGGACCCCCAAACCCTAAACCCTAAACTGATGGCGACCACAAGCTAGTCTGATCATCAGAAAGCTTGGGAACTAGGTATTTTGGGGGTAATTTATGAGTCATATGGGCTACCGTAAGTATCATTAGCCTTTTTAAGGGGCCCTTAACAGCGGACATAGGGGTCCCCCTGTTTAGTGTGCTATAGTCTTTACTAAAGTCCTTAATAGGGAGCGCATGTCCATTAATTTTCTGGGTACTATGAACTGTAGCTCATATGATACTCACTTGGTGCTTCTTTCCGGAGTTGCAAGAAATGCCGCCCCCTACACCCCTGGGTGTGTTGGGGCGCCATTTCTGCATGTCACCTCCAGCCGCCGCGCAGCAAGACGCCCTAAACCCCAAACCCTAAACCCTTTACAACCCTTCTAGCCTCCCAAACCCCACATGAGCTATAGCCTAAACTGTAAACTCCAAGTATCCCCAATATAACCCCCTATAAGGAGCTTAACCTATAGCTCATATATCCCTGCCAGCCCCCTACCCTAAACCCTAGCCCCTAAACCCTAAACCCTAAACCCTAAAGATCGCCGAGGCAGTGGTTGCTGAGCTCCAGCGATGTGCCGAGACTTTGCCTCCAGCTTTGCGAGGCAAAGGGGCTGACACCACAGGAGCCTAGGGGGTTTAGGGTTTAGGGTTGAAGGTTTAGGGTTTAGGGTTGAAGGTTTAGGGTTTAGGGTTCAAGGTTCAGGGTTAAGGCTTTAGTTTTTGGGGTGGAAGGTTGAGGGTTGAAGATTCAGGGTTTAGGGTTCAAGGTTCAGAGTTAAGGCTTTAGGGTTTAGGGTTGAAGGTTTACGGTTTTAGGTTCAAGGTTCAGGGTTAAGGGTTTAGG